ACATCAACCGCAGCCCGGCAAACGGCGGGCTGGCAGTCAGGGCGCCTGCGCGGTAGGCAGCCCCGCTCGACTCGCGTGGCGTGCGCGGGCTGAAGTTGCCTACCTCCACGGCGCTCTCTACGGAGGTGCAGCGGAGGCGAGCGCCTGCGCGGTAGGCAGCCCCGCACGACTCGCGAGGCCTGCGCCTGCTGCAGTTGCCTACCTCCACGGCGTTCCACTTGGCCCACCACGAGTAGTGCTTCCGCGACCTCGGGATCACTCCTGCCTCCTGCCTGACAACCACTATAAAGCGCATCTTGTAGCACACGGGCTCATTCCGGGCCGGTCTGATGGTCCTGGTCGACCCTGGTCGTAACATGGGTTCAAACGGCGTCTATAACGGCACCGTCCCGTCCGAGTCTGTGTAGTCGGTCGGATCGGCGGACACAAACAACGTTTTCGGATGGCGGGGCATTCGCGACACTCGTGCGTAGTACACGGGCGCTCGCGTCTCCAAATGAGGCAGCCGGTTGAACCCCACCCCACCCTACGCCCGCAAGCGGAGAGTCATTGACCAGCTCGGTGTGTTTGTCCCAGACCCACCTGACCAAAGCACCAGAGACGCGGCCATGCAACCCCCTCCTCCTCCCTTCCCCCCGCAGCGAGAGCGTTGTGATTGCTGTTTGCATCGTGGAGAGGGGGAGCAGGGCGGGGCGGAGCGGGCACGAGTCAGCGGGGTCAGCACTAGGTCAAACTCGTCCTCCTCTAGCGCTTTCAGCCCGCGGGACTGACACGGCGCGCGCGGAGGGCCTTATTGGGCTGATATTCGATCCGTATGAGCGGCCAGAGTCACGCTTCGAGGAGAGGAGGAGCGCCGGGCCTCTCGCCGCGGCTCAGCTGAGCCTCTGGAGTAGTAGTTGGAGAGCCCCCCGTGCGGGGCTTGAGCCCGGCGGAGCAGAGCCCAAGCCCGGCCGAGACCGGCGCAGCCAAGGTCACGCGCACCCCGCAGAGCCCCGCCGCACCGCACCGCGTTGGCCGGGCCGAACAGGCCGGCCGGGCCGGGCCGCGGGGCCGTCGCAGTCCGTTACTCGGGCCGGAACATCGTCGGCACGCGGACGCGCCGCACCGCGCCCCACCCACCACCCGCCTCGCCTTCCGTTTTTATCATCGTTATGTACAGAGGCTTACGATGACGACGACGTCGACGGCGGCAACGACAACGTTGACAACGACAACGTTGACGTCGACGAAAAACTCAAACGCTACAATCTTGAAGAGAAATGATATTTTATATGAGAGAGGGGAATTGAGCAAGTAAATCGAATCAAAGTGGGAGAGCGTGTTCCAGAGCCGGTCCCACCCCCCACTCTCGAGCAGGCAGAATCGTCCGTGGAACCATTGAGGAGCAGGAGGACCACCTCCACGACACGCATCGGCGGGCGGCGGCCGGGGCGACGGTCCCCCCGCGCACACGGCACACGACGGGCGGGGCGGGGCGGGACGGGGCGGAGGTGCGAGTTAACGGGACCTGTATACTGTCGAGGCAAAGCAGCCGAAGCCGGCTCCGTTCAAGGCGAAGTTCACGGCGAGCTGGTAACGCTCTGCTCTCCACGCCCACCCGTCCCCGCAGCCGTGGCCGCTGCCACAAACACACACACACACACAAATCGCAAGTTCTTTCTCTTTCTCCTTCTCTGTCTCTCTCTCGCCCAACACACATACAATGCCCCGGCGCACAGCTCGTTGCCATGGCTGCTGTTCGGATTGCCCCCCCCCCCCTCTTCCTCCTCCTCCAGGGTGGTGGAAGGGCCGAACGAGAGGCCGGATTGGTCCGGGCCGCACGTTATACACGTTGCGTTGGGCCGATGACCCAGCCGGGCCGCTCCTTCCCTGGTCCACCGGCCATTAGCATGTCACGGCAAAGCTACGTGAGAAGGGAGCAGAGTAGAGCGGAGCATGTCGAGGAGCAACAACGCGAGCAACGCCTCCACCACCACCTCAGGAGAGGAGCGGATGGCAGGCGCACTCACAACCGGAGCTGCTGCAGTGCGCTCCAACCAAGAGGACGGACCGCCGGCCAGGAGGACGACCGTCTGGAGGAGGACCGCCAGGAGGATGGCCACCTGGAGGAGGACCGCCTCGAGGACGATCTCCTGGAGGACGACCGCCTGAAGGACGACCTCCTGGAGGACGGACAATCTGGGGGACGAAGGCCTCTCGCCTTCGTCTCTCCTACGGCGAGAAGACACGGCACGCCTTTGCGGCGTCCGGCGTCGCTCCGTGCCCGCGGAAGCCAGAGTGGCAAACAAAGTGCGCCCACGGCATTGCCTCCCAGGCCCAGGCTCCGCGGCACGAGAAGCAGTAGGAGTACAGCAGCGGCGACGGCAGTTGCGCTGTAATCTACGAATTTCCGGAGTAGGTAAGGCTCATGCTCGGGCTCGGCTCGGCTCAAGCTGGAGGCCTGGAGGCTTGGCTCGGCTTGGCTGGCCCTGCTCGGCCCACGCGACGCGCGGGTCGCAGCCTCACGGCAGTACAGCGGAACGGCCATGCCCTTTGCCTCTTCGTCGCCAACGCCGCCGACATCGTCGTACTTCTGGTCCGGTCCTCTTTTCCTTCTCCTCCTTCCGCACTGCTAATGGTCCAGCAGACCAGAAAGAGGGGAGGAAAAATGAAGAGGAATAGGAGTGGGAGGGAGAGGGAGCGATAAAGAAGGGAGAGAAACGGGGCGAGATGGAGACAGACAAACAAACAGACAGACAGACAGACAGACAGACAGACAGACAGACAGACAGACAGACAGACAGACAGACAGACAGACAGACAGGGCGAGGGAAGGGGAGAGAGATGAGGGGGAGTGGAAGGAAGTCGTCATATCTGAGATGGCTTGGACATCACAATGACACACTGGGCAGGGCACAGGCCTGACACGGCCGGCCCGGTTCACCGCAGCACACAAAGAGAGGGAATGGCATTATGGGCCGGGCTGGGCTGGGGCTGTGCTCGGGCTCGGGCTGAGCCGCGCGCCTCGCGGCCAGGGCGGCCAGCCACAACGCAGCCGCGACTCGAGCATGGGCGGGCCTAGCGGCGCGACACGTCCACGGTAAATCGTCCCACAGTAAGTTTGGAGGTGAATGAAGAAAGAGTTCCAAAAAATACAATGCATCCAATCATTCGGACGTAAATTAACGCACATGTCTGTTAGTGGACGTATTTTTAAGTCGTATGAGGCTGTTAAAAAAAGTTGGTCTACAACACCGTACGTCATTTATCTCCTCTGAAGTATGACCGTTGTTAACAAAAAGATGATTTTAAAAAAATCTGATTTGGGTCGATTTGGGTACACAGTCACAGTCCAACGAAATAGCGTCATATTGAAGGTTGGTCCTCGTCATGGTACATATGAGGGACACTGGAGTGATAGCGCTGGACACGCTGCAGCTGTGTGTTGAATAATACTTCCTGATTTAACGAGAAGACCCCCTGCCTGTAGGCAATAAGCATAATTTTCCTGTTTCCTCACTCCTTTTCCGCAAAAGAAATCTAAAATTTCACAGCAGTTCGAAAGCGTTCACTAAAATCAGTTTAAAACTAAAAAAAATTTATATTTTAAACTGAGGGTGAGCGACACGAAAAAACAAGTAGTAAGCTGTAAATTCCAGTACGACGTCGATTTTTATCATTCATGCAACAAAACTTTCAGAAAATCCAGAGATTTTCAGAATTTTTATTCGATAACGTATTGCACTGCCAGTATTGCTTCGGAAAGTTTTCCCGATGTAAGTACACAGAATTTATCAAGTTCCAAAAATCTTGCTGTATCATTTATATAAATAAAGACAGTCACTTCGTGGGAGGTCAATAACAAGGATTTGCGGATCGATTTGTTCAGCCTTAAATAACTTCAACGTACGTACACAGTGAGAACGTAACAGACACGTGAGGTAATTTACTTCAAATCATTGAAGCTTAAACGCGTTTCAACAAAATGCGATTTTGTTGGACGTAATTCCAGTGGACGTGACGGGGAGGCTCCGTCGCAAGTGATCTGCCACGAGGACCATCTGCTGCCGAGGCCCAGCTCGGCTCGGCTGGCTCAGCACAGCACACCCCGCTCCCGCTACCTCTGCTGCTCGCGAGGCTCGCCCCGCTCTCGCAGACTCCGGGCCGGGCGCTTTAAATGCACTTTCTTCCGGCTTGGAGAGGGAGGGGAGAGAGGTCCTTTTGTAACCGCGGGGGGAGAGAGAGACCAGGAGCAGGGAGGGGAAAGGTGAGAAGGGAGGGGAGGGAGCAACGACTCGTTGGTACACACGCGGTGGGGTCTCAGCGAGGTCAGTAGCGTAGCCCGTTGGTACCCCCACCCAACCACCCACCGAAAGGGGCCTAACAGGGCCAGGCCCTGCCTGGGCCACCTGGCCGGGCCACCTGGCAGGGCCACGGGGCCCAGCGCCCGCCAGGCCCCGGCCCCTCGGCCCAGAGAGAACAGAACAGTACCTGAGAGATCCACATCGCATGCTACGCGCGCCGCCCAATTTGGGGCGCACTAGCGCTCCCCGCGGCCAGCGTCCCCTACTACTCGGTGCGCGCGCTCGGCCGCTCCGTACGAATGCTCGACTCGGCCGCCACTCGGCGGCCGGCGCGCAGCGGCGCGCAGGGCGCGCAGGTGGGCAGGGGGCGGAGCGGCCGGCTGCCGGCTGGCCGCCAGCTTTTTTGACGTTTTATCAGGATTGTAATTCAGAAACTGGTAAAGATATCGGTGTTCTGTTTCCTGTGAGTTGTAGGCAGACCCCCAAGGTTGTGCATTCTACAGTTTGAGAACCATCCCTCGCTCCTGTAGTCCAATAAATGCTGGCTGCTTTGACATTTTGCTTCACTATTTTCCAATTCTCCCCCCCCCCCAATTTTTTGTTTTTTTATAAATTGCTGGAATTAGGTCCTTCTAGCTCTTGTAGTTACTTTAACTTTTAAACTATTCATGGTGTAAAAGGTAGTAGGGCAGGTATTTTCAAATTATACAGGTCAAGTTAGATTCCAGTAATATATTTTCCAAAATGAAAAATAACAGTATGGTATTTGATATTGATGGTAACGTAAATGCACTTGATCTTCTCTGGTATTGGGACGGCTTTCCTGAAACAGTAGAGAAAAGTGCAGATATAAGTATACTTTTTAAAAAATACACAAGGTATAAAGAACATTGAAGCAAAATCTTAAACGTACCTTCAGCCAAATTGGCTTAAAGAAGTCTCATCAACAAGAACACGGTTAAAGTGGTCGCTCAGCTCGGAAAGAACTTGGGACGGGTTGGCACTGGAGCTGACAGCTATCGACACCCTCCACTAAAATAAAAAATATAGTTCACGGTTAACGATTGCTTGAAAATACTTAATATATATTTAAATACTGTAAAGTCTGTTTAAATATTATTTTATATTTTGATGTTAAAGTTCCCCAAAAGCTGCTGGATAAATAATTTAAAATTCATTGGAGACTAAATCTTGTGTTTCTATTTATTTACATGGTGGCATGGGTTGTAAGTGGTCAAGAACTTGCGGACCACAAGTTCGCATCAGACATAAAAATAAACTTCACAACTACACTTGCCAAGAATAACCCACCAGTAGCAAAAATAAGACACACACATTACAGTCTGCTCTATGCATGTATGATTTCCCCATAGTTTTTTGTTCTGAAGCAATAGAGTTAACTGCTTCACAACAAAAACAAAACAAACCACAACATTCATGTCAAGACTAGTTTGGTGAGGTTAAGGTTAAGAGTTGGGAAGCACATAAGCGTTGAACCACTTTGATCTTCTGTTCAAAATTAATTTAAAGAGAGAAGCTTCAATAACATTCCACGTTGTGTGGGGAGAACTTGTCGAGAAATCAAAATATTGAGCTAAGCAAAACCAGCAAGCCAAAGGGGCCCTTGGACTGGACATCAGCCACGAGGGGCCGGAGAAGGTAATACTCGTAAGAATACGAGACCCAGACACTAAATTCTTACTTAAAACAACAGCACATACCTGATTGAAGAAGAAAATAGTTACTCTCCAGCAAAACTTCACAACAATTCTTCTTAAAAACACTTCACTAGCGGCATATATTCTCCCTCGGTAGACGACAACAACACTATGGCCTAAGATGGCGGCGGGCTACTCTGGCCACTCAGGCCCCCTTTCCACCAACACCCCGGGGCGAAAAATAAAAATATTTCATGTTGAACTTTCGGAGTATATTTTCACAGTATGCTGTGTAGAAACACTCGGGAATTCAAACAGTATTAATATCTTAGTGAAAATAATTATGTTTAAGTGTCAGCAGGCACGAAAAGTTAGCGTGTTTGGGTTTTCAGGGTGGTACGCCCTCCAGCGTCCCTCTGGTTCCGCCCGGCAAAATCGGGCACCGGATGTCCCTATCTTTATGACGGTCTCTTCTTACCTTGTCTCTGCCTCGGCCCAGCGGGCCAACAACCTGTGGAGCACGGCGCGCCGCACGGGCCGCCCGAGCGGGCCGCCTTGCATGCGATGTCATACACTCGGCCCGCCCGGGCGGTGGGGGTGGGAGAGTCGCTCGGAGAGTCGCCCGGAGAGTCGGCGGCGACGGCAGGGACCTCTGGCTCGGTAACCGTACCTCGTGGCCGTGGCCACGGTGGTCCCAGGGCGGCCGCTGCGCCGTGAGAGGCCCTCCAGCCCTTTGCCCCATGTCCACAGCGCGACCCGGCTCTACCGGTTGACGCAATGCCACTGGCAATAATTTTTCTTCTTGCAAAGGGTGTTCAGCCGCCGCCGCCGTCGTCCTACGGTCCTGGTCCTGGTAAACAACATCTTGAGAAGGAACACGTGGAAGAGCGGGACCGCGCGGGTCGGTGTACTCCGCGCCCCAACGGGGTCCTCGCCAAGTGGGAAGTCTCGCGTTAGGACGCGGACGTAAAGCACCCGGCGCGGCCACCTGGGCGTTATCGCGACAACTCGCCCCGCCGCCCCGCCCCGCCGCAGCAGCAGAACGAACGGCAGGGACTGGCGCGGCGGCTCTGCTTTCACTTCACCGCCATCACTAATTAAAAGGATGACTGCCGTGGGAAAATATGGCGGCCCACAGACGGTTGTCCAAACAGTGAGGCTGTTAGGGCAGGCGCCGGCGGGGCCGTGCGGCAGCAGTGAGAGTGGCGGGCACCCCGCCCCGCCCCACCCCGACAACTTAGTGTTTCGGATTACGAGTACTCCTCGGTCGCCGTGGTGCGGCGGTTGGTCCCAGAACACCGCCCGCTGCTCGAGCAGATGTGTACAGTACTGGGGGCCCTGCAGCCGTGTGCTACCCGTACAGTACCCGCGGTGGCCGGCTGCCCTTGGGCCGGCCCGAGGCCCTGCCTGGAGGAGGCCCAGGAGGCACTACGCCCTGTAGAAGTGTACAGTAGTACAGCTTGCCCTGCAGCCGCCTGCTGTACCCGGACAGTACCCGCGCCGACCGGCTGCCCTTGGCCCTGACCGATAGGCCCTGGAGGCCCTGCCCTGCCCCTATGATGCCCTTGTCCCCAGCACCAGCCCATCCCGATCACAAGGCTGACGAGATTCCCGGCCGGCCGCAGCGCCACTGGCGCTAAGTTAGGGTTGGCCCCCGCGCGCTGACGCAGCCCGCATTCTTCATCGCTGTGACTGTTTTTCGCCTGAAATATATTGCTTTCTCCCAAATGTCACCGAGTGTTTGGCAGTGCGGCGAGCGGTGGCGAGCGGCGCCTGGCTCGGCCCCTCGGGGGGCGGCAGAGTGTGTGTGCTTGACGCGCCATACGCAGCGCCCCGCCGCCCCACGCCGTGCCCTACTTCACCAATAATATTTGACCAGTTGTCGCCGGCTGTCATCGACCTCCTCGCCTCAGAGTACCCCCTCCCGTCCCCCAGCGCGCCCTGCGGGGCTCCACAGGGGGTCCAGGACGACGTCGTCTTGCCGGCGGGGGCCGCCCGACGGGCCCGCGGAACGTACTTAGCGCGCCTAGAGGCATTACGACGCCACACTTTGCCGACTCCATGCGGTGACCGATCCCCCCGTCGCGTCGGCCTCTGGCCTGGTACAGTACCCGTCGCCCTAGTTGATTCCAGGACCCCCCTCCCCCTCCTCCTGTTCAGAAGATTTTGGCTTCGGCTTCCTCCGACAAGGTTGTCGTGATTGTGCGAAAACATAACGCCCACGGCGTACGTTTTTAATGGGCGCGGTGTGTGTGCGATTGTGTCGTGCCTCCTCGTTCTATTGATTTGACACGAGTTATTTGAGGAACGCCCCCCCCC